GCACATGCTCAGAAGCAGAAACTTAAGTGCCTAGGGAACTTTTATTGCAAAAACATGGATGCTGAGAGAGTTTAGGTGCCTACAGGGTGAGCCAGCAGCAGAGTGGGAGTTGGAGGATGGCAGTGAAGCCTGAAAACAGGCTTGATCTGGAGGTCAGGTGCCCAAGCACCTTTATGGATCTGAGCCCTTGTGTAAAATCTACTTCATGATTTTTGTGTGTGAAGGTTCTGGCACCTGCACACAGTCTTACTGCACCACTTTGGCCATGCTCACATTTGCTTACTAGCCTGGGGTCTAAGTAGGCCCAATGGTGCCATCAATATGTACATTTCTCTCTATATACAATGCGCCATACAGCAGAAAACACTCATATGAGCAGCATTACGCTAGTTCAGATGTAGGTTTTGATCATTTAAATTAATAAAAAATTACGTGTCAATTTTTCTTCATGAACTGTTCAATCGTCAGGATGCACATTTTAAATCCCTTGAAGCAGCTGTTCTTAGACTTGTAGAAACCCAGGCTCACTGAAATCAATTACGTCAACTTTTAATAAACTTTCTGATAAAGACAGTTAATCAATTACCATTGTTTTCATTTTGCCACAGGGTCTGCGCAGCATTTATTTTTAAAAAATGAACTAAAGTCAGAATATGCAACCAGAGCGAACCACAGTAAACCACGATGAACACTAGGCTGCATAAGGCAATCTGCAATTTTACAGAATGATTAACTAGCCTATTGTCCCACTTGCAGCTGAGCCTGTACATGCAGGGCACAGTAAAATCCTGTGACAATGGCATTCTGGCTTTGAATGACACTGAAACCTGACAAATGCTGTAGACCTCACAATTATTACAGAAGTACTGTTTGTAACACGATGTGAGGTTTTATCTACACGACTCCTATTTTCAGGGTGTTATTACTCCAGCTCAAGTATTAGGCTATGGCTACACTGGCGCTTTACAGCGCTGCAACTCTCTCACTCAAGAGCATGAAAAAACACCCCCCTGAGCGCAGCAAGTTACAGCGCTGATAAAGCGCCAGTGTAAACCGTGCCGCAGCGCTGGGAGCTAAGCTAATCCCCTCGTGGAGGTGGAGTACCTGCAGTGCTGGGACAGCTCTCTCCCAGCGCTGGCGCCGCGACCACACTTGCACTTCAAAGCGCTGCCGCGGGAGAGCTTTGGAGTTGCGAGCAACAGAGGGTCCTGTGGCACCTTTGAGACTAACAGAAGTATTGGGACCATAAGCTTTCGTGGGTAAGAACCTCACTTCTTCAGATGCAAGTCTTGAAGAAGTGAGGTTCTTATCCATGAAAGCTTATGCTCCCAATACTTCTGT